TTAATGTGGGATTGCTATGGGAGTTGTATTAAAAACCATTTTCTTTTAGTTAGAGTTCACAGAGTTAGCTAGAATGACCTCTTCAAAGTTATTTCAAGAAATTCGAGTTTTCTTGAGACTTTTTATTCCTAAAACTTCAACAAAGGAATTATTATTTTATTTATAATAAAACATTTTATTTTTCTTTTTAAGAATATTTCTCAGCTTAGACTTTCCCGAATTTTGGAATTTTTTTTTTTTTTTTTTTGTAATAACATTATTTATTTTTGTTTTAAAATACAATGTATTAAATCAGAATTTTAGTAAGTTTGTCTTTTAGAAATGAAAACATTTCCCTTTTTTGCTGATTTTTTAATTTTTTTTTTTTATTATTATTATGTAATATTTTCTTTCGAGAGATATAAATATTAAACAAATATAAAGAGTATATGAACTTCGTCATACTGAACAGTGACAGTTCACTTTATGAATGAATGAAACCCAAGTGGAGATCAAGATATAGTTGCGATTCATAGTGAGTCCAGAATTGCATATCATGCTGTCCATTGCCATTTCGGAATTGTATGATACTCTCGAGTCATCCATGATCCACATGCTCATCTAAGTGAACTACTTTCCACGGCGATCAGTCCTGGACCACTTTCAAGGCAGCCGCAACGAAAGGTTAATTAAACGTAGGGAGAAATCAATTCAAACACTTGGCTGCATTTCTATGGAAAACGGCCAAAACAATTCCAAACACAGACAAGCGTCTGAGCGCCGGCCATGGCTAAAATGTACAAATGATGCACAAGAGCCGCAAGAGTTGTCCCGATATTTCACACAAAGATGCGCCGACAAAAGGGCACGGCATGGATCGTGACGTTTGATCTTGACGCTCGGCTGGCTTCTGGCTTCTGCTGCCCGATGATGATGAGCCGCTGATCGATGTGCCACGCGACCGCAAAACTCTCGACATTATGCAGCACAATTTCTGGCGAAACGACCTAAAAACGCCAAAGCCAACGGCTCTGACCCAATCATGTGGCATAGCCTGAATAGCTCAGAGATCAGCTAAAGATGGGCAACGCCTTGACTGGAATTTCCAATTAGCATGTACGACGCGTCGTTTACCTGCCCAGCCGTGTTGGCCAGTTGCATGTCCTTGTCAAAATAGCAAACAATAGACGCGTAGGCGGTGCTGCGGCCCGAAAGTCAAGTCAAGTCAAGTCAAGTCGATTTCCACTCAACAATAGGCCAACTGATGATAATCTGCTTTCCTTCTGCGCCCAGGATTAATCGTTTTCGTCGAGCGGATTAGCTGTTGGCGCTAAATTGCGAAAATGCGATTAGTTGCTCAACTATTGTTCAACTATTGCGTGAGATTGTTGCCAGGACCAAGACGAAGATTCTCTTTTGTGCCTGGGAAAGTCTCAAGTGCTTGTGCACTTGTCCAGCATGCCCTTTTGTTGGGCCAAACAATGCAATCGTTGCAATAGTTTCCATTGTTCTGCAGTTATTGTCTCTGCCAGCAAATTACCATGTAATATTCCAGCATTATGGCTAATATTCTGTGCACATACAGATCTAATATTTTGGTTTTGGTTTCGGCGAAAATTCGCTTTGTCTGCCGGCCAGACAGCTTGTCGCTCATGGGATTAGCTTAGAGTTTTCGAAATATCTCGACAATTTGAATAGTTTTTTATTTAATTATTGGTATTGCATCTATTTCTAGGAACACAAACATAAACTAAGACACACGACAAGCTGCTGCCGCTGCCGCTAGCTCTGCCCCAGCCTCTGTCTCTGTCTGTATCAGCATATCCGTTAGACGCGTCTCTGATAGCCCAAATGTGTCGAGGTAATTGCAAGGTTTATATGAGAATTTATCGACACTTGAGCGTGATGTGGAAAACAAACAGTAAGCGAACGGAAAATCAACTAAATACCCTTTTTTCTCGGCTCGCAGGATCCTTACGGCAGGTAGCTTCGCAGCGCCTTCTGAGCGAGCGGCAGTCCCTATTGATGAGTATCATAAATTGTCATCACATAAATAGCGCCGTGACATTTATGACTCCATTGCGACTGCCGTTGGGTAATCTGTGTCCTTTTCCTTTTCTTTCCTTTTTGTATGTTTTTTTTTGTTAACAGACACGAGCCTCAAGGATACATATATGTACCTATATCTTAATAAGCATTTAATGGTAGCGGTAAAAAGGCGCACAAACACAGTTCCATTCGTCAGCCGAGGCAGCAGAAGTGTTAAGTGGGCGACTGATAAGTTTCTGTTACTAGCAACAGCTAGCCATGGGGTGCCAAGAGATTGCATGACGATTTGGTCA